AAAACCCGGCGCCCTACTTGAATAGAATTTTTCGAATTGTCCACGCAACGCGCATACAATTGTATTCAATCCGACTGGGCTCATGAGGGAATTTCGTAACACTGGTGCTGTATTTATTGGCTAGACGTTGGTGGTTGAAACGCAGTAGCGACGCGTGACTTGTAGTCTGGGGGGGGGGGGGGGGGGGGTAATGAGAAGATGTGACCACCCGCTAACGCGCCGCGGGCCAAATTTTTTTGCAAATTTGAAGGTCATTCACTTTTCCAGAACAATTATTTCCTTTGTGAAGAAAATAAAGCGTCAGGGAGGGTAATTACCCCCATTACCCCCCCCCCCCGACGCGACGCCCCTGTTGAAACGTAGTAAGTTATGAAATAAAAAAACATTCACCAACCATTCAGTAAACGAATTTTAAGATTCAATCTGGAAACTGAGTCATAACTCAGTCATAACTCAAGACTCAAGATAAAATATGTATTACTATCGACTTACGTTCCATTATAATTACGATCCGGCAACATGGCCAACGATGTGCAGCAAAATTTCAGTGGTTCTAAAAGTTTTTGTAAATATTGTAAAAAAGAAGTTACAAATGTTATAAAATGTGTGAAATGTGATGATAGCTTTCATCTCAGCTGCCTTACACAATCTGCAAAGCTGAAAAACAGCGTATGTGTACATGAGGCTAGATCAACAAGTCAGGCCCCTACAAGTGAGGTTAAGACACCCGAAACTGAAAACGAATCTCCTGCTGAGGTTCAGAATAAACTGCTGCTTCGCATTATTAAGGAAATGGAAAGTAAGTTTGAGTTACTCAATGAAAATAATGTTTTATTGAAAGAAAAAATTATTTCTTTGAACGAAAAACTTGCTATTTTGGAAACCAGGGAAAAAACGAGTCAACTGGCAACTCCGCAAATTCCCACGCTGGTCGGTTCGCAGGCTGATATGACCTCGTTATCAGCTGACGGATTAGCAAATTCCAGTGCTACCAACAGTGGGAAATTTAATAACCCTGGTGGAATTAATTATAATAATAGTAAACAAAAACAAAATTCGCATGATCCATCTCGTAATGCTGATAAAAATAAAAATGTTGCTAATAATAACGCGACCCAGCAAATTTTCACACAAAGATCAGTTGGAGTGGCAATTATGGGGGCTCAGACAAAGACAAAAATTGCCGAAATTCAAAAAATGAGTGATGATAACATCAATTCCGAGGATCACCACCATTACGTAGGTGACTGGCAGGATGTTAAAAAACCACAAAGAAAAAGACGTTTTGTAGTTGGAAACAACAACGAAGCTGCAACTGAAGTGAAGACAGTTCAAAAAACAGTTGCATTACATGTAACACGATTGCATAAGGACACAAAACCTGAAACCCTTAGAAATCTTTTGGCAACCTCTTTTCCAGAGGTCAAATGTGAAAGCCATATCTCAAGGCAACCGGATTTGTACAGTTCCTTTAAGGTAACAATTTGGCAAGATAGTTTATCTAAAGCTTGGCGTAAAGAAATATGGCCAGTAGGCGCTGTGGTTTCTAAATTTTTTTTCAAGAGGAGGATGCCAACCAAGGAGCAATAGCTGGATCCTCAGGCGTCATAAATAACCTTCAAACTAATTTTGTTGTTAATAGTAGCAGCAGTGTAAAAAGTCCAAGTGTTTTGTTACAAAAAGTCTCCAATACTGAAGATGGAAGCATTTCAAATTGTATTGAACTAGTTGTTTACTACCAAAATGTACGAGGCCTTCGTACGAAAACTCACGATTTTTACACCAGTACCTTATCAGAGGATTATGATATTATTTCTTTAACAGAAACTTGGTTAAATGAGAACTTTGGTAGTCAGGAACTGTTCGACTCTCGATATAATATTATTAGAAGAGATCGTAACTCTCAAAAGTCTAGAGGAGGAGGAGTCTTGCTTGCACTGGAAAAACATTTGGTTTTTGAACAAATCAACATAGACTGTGATGTAGAAGGGATCCTGGTGAAAGTTAAGTACAAAACTAATGTTTTTTATGTTTCTGTCGTATATTTTGTACCAAACACACCTTTAGATCAATATGAAAAGTATTTTAATTGTTTCGAGTTTTTAAATGTATCTGAGTCAAAAATACTAATATTGGGAGATTTCAACTTACCAAATTTTATTAAAAATGATAACTCTAATTGTGATAAAGGTAATGCCTTGAATTTGTTTTTAAAAATGTATAATCTAGACCAGGTAAACTCAGTACCAAATTGTATTAATAGGATTTTAGATTTGGTTTCCTCAAACATGTTGCTCTCCCCAATTCATAAAACTGGCTACCCATTAGTAGGTGAGGATTCGTATCATCCATCTCTCACTTTTTCTTTGTTTTTAAAAAAGCACAAAGCGCAAAAGGGTCACAAGAAAACGCACTTGTATGATTTTCCAAAGGCAAATTTCCTGGAACTATATCACTTATTGTCGGTCTGTAATTGGACGCCTGTTTTTCAATGCACAGATGTCGATGAATGTTTGAGAGCTTTTTATGATGTAATGTATTCATGCCTGGATATGGCGGTACCAAAATATGCTGTTTCTGAGAACTGTGATATAAAATGTAAGTATCCTTTATGGTTTTCCTATAGGCTAGTCAAAAAAATTAAGCGTAAGAATCATTTGCATAAACTAGTTAAGAAAAATAAAGTTAGTAATGAAAAATTTAATGAGTACCTTCACCTTAGGAAGCAAATTAAAAAATATGTGAAAAAGGGATATGCTGAGTACCAAAAAAGTGTAGAAAGCAACTTAATAAATGATCCTAGTAGATTCTGGTCATTTGTTCGCAGTAAGAGAGGTCAGAATGTAATACCGGAAGAAGTTACATATGAAAACGCCATCTTTAATGATCCAGAGGATATTGCTGAAGCCTTTGCAAATTATTTTAAATCGGTGTATGAAAATGGTTCTATGCATTCACTAGATAATCTGAATTGGGGCAATTTCGAATTTGAATGCATCTCTGAAAGTTTAGTGCAAGAAGGCATAAAGCTGCTTAAACCAAAAAGATCCACAGGTGTAGATGGTATTCCTAGATATATATTTAAAGGGTATGCTGAACAGCTTGCACAACCGTTATCTTTCTTATTTAATTTGGCCATAAATTGCAATAAGTTTCCAGAAGAACTAAAAACTGCAGTTGTAGTACCAATTTTTAAAAAAGGTAAAATCAGTGATGTCAATAATTATCGACCCATAAGTTTAATTAATACACTAGCAAAATTGTTTGAGTTGATATTATACAATCAAATTAACAAATTGGTACAACCAGAAATCACAAATTTTCAGCATGGATTTCTTAAGGGACGCTCGACTACTACAAACCTGTGTGTTTTTTCCGAGTATGCTTCCATGGCAATCGAAAGTGGTAAACAACTAGATGTTATTTATACTGATTGCTCAAAAGCCTTTGATAAGGTGAGCCATGAAATTCTATTGCATAAGCTTGTCAATTTGGGTTTTTCCGAAAGGGCATATACATTTATCAAGTCATACTTATTACAGCGGCCACAAAAAGTTGAAATTGGTAAATATTTCTCTAAAGAATACATCAGCACATACGGCGTACCACAGGGCAGCAACCTTGGTCCCTTGCTTTTTTTATTGCATATAAATGGCGTGACCAATGTTTTAAAAGAGTCAACAGGACTTCTTTATGCTTTATGATTTAAAGATTTTCAAAATAATATCAAATGAATCTGATTGTGCTCAGTTGCAGTCTGACATTGATGCGGTATCAAATTGGCTTTATGAAAACGGTATGTACCTCAACATAGACAAATGCAATGTCATGACATATACAAGGAAAATCAATTATGTTGTATATGATTATGAAATACAGAACAAAATACTTGACAGAAAATACAAAGTTAAAGATTTAGGGGTACTTTTTTCACCAAATCTTAAATTTAATGACCATTTTAGCTACGCCACTGGAAAAGCATATAAGTGTCTGGGATTTGTTACTCGTAACTCTGGAAATTTTAACACTTCAACCATAAAGTTGCTTTATAACTCACTGGTTAGGCCTCACATAGAGTATGCCTCAAATATTTGGAGCCCAACGGCAGCTTCTAATATTGATTTTATCGAAAGGGTGCAAAAGCGATTTTTGAGGTATCTCTTTTACAGGGAAAATGGTACTTATCCTTACATGCTTTCATATAGGAGTATGCTCGAGGGTTTTAGTTATACAACTCTATTTGATAGAAGGAATCAAAATGCAGTTTTGTTTGTGTTTTTTATTGTAAATGACTTAAACTATAATTATTGCAAGATTATTAATTTCATTAAATTCAATGTTCCTAAACCTAATCTAAGAATCCTTAATAAAAAAACATTCTTTGTAACTCAGGGAAGTATATCTCCACTAAATAATATGCTGGCAAATTGTAATGCTTTGTCAGAGTCTAAAGATTTTGATATATTTAAAACTATAAAATCAGGTCACTGTTTACTTGTTAATTATATAAGTGTTAAATGTTAAATGAGTTATGAATTGATTTTATACACACCTGGTCAATTATGTTGTTTGTGATAAATTAGTGTGATATATTTTATATGTACATCATGTCCTTTTTTACCTTTTGTTTTTTAATAATTTTTAATCTAGTTCTAGTTTGTTATTTTTTTTTCTTTTGAGACCCTAGTGTCTATTCTTTGCATATAATTACTGTTTTTCTATATGGTGTTTGTAAAGAATTGAATAAATAAATAAATAAATAAATAAATAATTACCCGATTATTAACTTCTTCGCGTTCAATTCACCATTAACTGACTTGACACACTAGACACACTGGCGTCTAATTAATCGCTGAGTTTCTCCTACGATAGCCGACTCCGTTTTATAGCGCTTCGTCTTTTTCATTTACTTCATCACAGTATGAGACATTCTGTACTACACACCACACACAAGTGAATTAATAGCTTAAAGTTTAAATTAAACAACGAAAAATAATTTACAAACATTTATTATTTTTTTTAAGGTATACGTAGACATACCTAATTTATTTATCCAATAATATAATTATCCAATAATACCAAGGGGATTCGATTTTTGCGACTTAACGCTTTGTTGTCCACTACTACCCAAAATTCCCCCTAACGGATTTTTATTCGGGCTCTGACTATTCCAACCGGGAACTAAACTACCCAAATCTTGCACCTTACCTAGATTTTTAGACACTCCACTTTCCAGTGCTTTCAGAAACTGACAGGAGTTGCTCTTGAGCCGATCTCCAATATTAGTCCACAGCGCCATCTCGCAAAATTTAAATTTATTTGCCAGAATCGGTTCCGGTTTGATTTGCACGAAATTGTTTTCGCCCAAGTTGAACGAAGGTACTTTTTTGTTGTCGATTTTGAACTCTCCGTGTCGGGCAAAATCGGCAATCATTTGAGTGAAGAAGTTTCTTACTTTTAGATCATCTTCAGTCGGTTCATTTGTAGGAAGAGGATTACCTTCAAGATCGTGAGCGTCAAAAAGGTAGGACAGTTCATCACCATGACCTACAGTGTCGTTTGAATTTGTCTCTACAAAAAAAGTTTGTAGAAAAAACCAGTTTGATGAGCTCATTGGCATTTTTTACCTGTGGAAGAAGCATTACCAACTATGGGCAATCCTTGCAAAAAACTAAATCCCCTATGCATATTTCCAGAGTGCTCGAAACTATAGAGATAAGTGGGGGCGCCTTTCCATAATTGGGCTTGCAAGAATGCTGGCACGTTGAATAAAGCGTCAGCTGAAAATTGAAATTAGTTTCAAACAAAAATAGAAACCAGAATGCTGACAGCGATTATTTCCAATCCAAAGTTGTTGCTGCTATTATTTTCTAGAAAATTATTGGCGTATCAAAAATTACCTGTCGCTTCTGAAATCTTCTGCAAATTTTCCTCAATGTCGTTCTGCTTAGCTTTCAAATAGTTTTCAAAATTCAATTGTAAACTATTTCCCAATCCTTCCAAAGCGTTTGCTCCATTGGAAAGTAATGAGCTGGTTATATTTTGGCCGGTTTGTGCAATATTGCCGAGTTTCCCACTCAGCTTGCTTAATACAGACGAATTGTGCAAGTTTTCAACGAGGACTTTATTCAAGAAGTTCGGTACCGATTTTAACTGTTTCAGGATGTCCGATTTGAACTGACCTAGACAGTAACAGTACAATAACCACTAGTTGACTAGTTTCTAATTTCTTACATTTGTTACAATTTTAAAATAATGGTAAGATTTATATAAAATAAAAATAAATTACCTTTTACTGCTTTGGTTGTCTCATCTTTGGTCACCCCAGTTAGTAAAGGAATCTTGGGATTTTCCTGTTTATACATGGACTCTACAGGATCAATCTCGACCATCCCTGGTAGAGATCTACCGTCGTTTGAACCTTCGGAAACTGGAGCGGTTCCTAGTCTACCGTTTAGGCCGGTCACAAAACCTCTGGATTGCAAGTGCTGAAATTCTATTCGAGAATCACCCTAGAAAAAGAAAAAAAAAATCAACTTAGAAATGTGTCTTTTTGAGCTAGGTTGGCTAACAGCTCAACGCATTCAAATTCAAAAAAAAAAAAAAAAAAATCAGGAATAGAGATCAATAATAGTCTAATCAGCAGGTAAATTCAATTACAATTTGGTACCTAGTAAAACTGGAAAAGCCTCCTCTTTGTTACTCATGTCCTGTGGATTTTTTTTGAGAAGTTTTCCATGACAAAAGAGATCAGAATAAATTATACTAGATTCCGATAGATGTCATTGCGAACTTTATATCTTGTTGGGATTGGGATCAAGATTGTAAACTTTTGACAACTTTCACCAAGAACAATTTTGTACCCAGAATGGGAAGCTCTTAGATTAGCATTATACTTCTTGACCTAGAAAGAAATATGCAGCATGTGGAGGCCTTATTGACAAAACTGCAGGTGGGAAATTGCGAAGAGACATAATATTATGGAGAACGAACATAATTGATATATACTTACAAAGAAGAAAAGCAATTGAAATCATATAATACAACATCTCCAAAATGTTATGGTTTACCAATAATTCATGAACCTAAATTCCCTACTCTCAAATAATAAGCACATCTGTGACATCACGAGGTGCCTGAACCTGAAGATGAACCGATAAATTAGGCACCGGAAATACAATAAAAACCAAGGCTAGAATAATTAAATTGTGGAGACCAAGTGACAGATTCATCCAAAAAAACATTATTTTGGCCGACACGAGTTTTGGCATCCTTTGATAGATGCGGTCTCCCATTTTTACAATATCCGTTGACCCCAACAATAAAGGAAATTGCAACATCTCCACTTGAACGAACAATTATATTTCTTAGAAATAGCGGGAAGAAAGACAATCAACATAGAATCAAAATGATCTACTGGAAATTCAAAAAACTCGATTTTTTTTTATCCTGGAATAAATGTAGTCAATAGCATTCCTACCTTGACGATCGATTCTGCTGGAACTTTTTGCAAACATTTTACCATAGTCACCGCATTGCCCGTTGGACAGCCATTTTCTTCAGCTATTTGCTGGGCTGTATCAGAAGGAGTATTATCGATTGCCCATCGTGACACTGCTGTTCCTGACATGGCTACTATAGCATTAGGCATACCTGGATTGGAAAAAAGCAAGAATTAAAGATCAGAGATTATTAAAAGTAACATCCTATTGAATTTTTCGAGAAATATTCAGAACGTCTTTGCAAAATCGTTTCTGACCTGTGAGTTTCCTACTGATTGTTTTGTAATGATCCGGGAAAAATAGTCCCGATATCAACAATGTCTTTACTGTAAAAATTAAATAATATCAAATAATCAAAAACTGAATTTCCGGTATTTCCAAATCAGTATCGAGAAATGAAAATGGAACAAATTACCGTGACCCCAAATACATTCGAACTTATATTATTTCGTCAGCCCGCGTGATTTCATCTCCTCTAAATCATATATCAATGAACTTTTTAAGCGAGGCCACCATGATAATTAAATCGAATGATTTATGGCATTCTTGAACCAATGTATTGACCCCGATAAATCAGGATATTGCGACATAATTATTCGATTTTAAACTAAAAATGATAAAAATTTCATCATCTTAATTGTCATGGACAAAGATATTCGGAGGGAATCGAAAAATATAAATACCGCGGTTTTAGAAGTGGAAGTTGCCAGTTGTTAGCAATCCAGTCCAGTTGAGTTAAAGCCTACAGTACCTAATGAGTCAGAAGGGTTGAAATTCGCGAAAAGTTCTTATTAAGGCCTCGGAGAAAACGCGTTCGATTTAACTTAGAAAAAGTACGGAAAATTGTGAAAGAAATAACATTTGAAATTCGTTCAACTTATGTGCGGGCTCTAGAAAATTTTGAGTAAATAATTAAGTAATTTTACGTGTCAAAAGTTAAATGTAAGTACTTTGGTGGTTAATAATTTTCTGACTTTTATCAATGATTCTGAATGATAAGAAGTGAATTAACAATGACTTTTAATGCCTAAAAACTTGAGTGATTTTTACTAGAAAAACTTTTTATAGTTATTAATGATACAAGTTCGATATGAACGCCCTAATGAAACGCGTGTAACGTTAAACCACGAGGCGTTAGCCGAGTGGTTTAGTTACACAAGTTTCATTAATAAAGTTCATATCGAACGTGTATCATTCAAAATTTAATCTACAATGGTTCAAATAGATTTGATTTGCCTTGAAATAGCAAAAACTTTTCAAATTAAAATTTGAAATTTAGCAGGTGCCCGTACAAGTCGAGAACCTGCTTGTTGGTTTTTAGAATTTTGACTTTGGCAGCTTCAATATTGGAGTCCATTTTTGTGCCATAAATTCAATTTTATGGTGGAAAATAATATTATTATTGGTGAATCTGAGTTCGAAAGTGTCTCTTCGAATATAGAGACAGCATTATTGAAAAGGTTCTTCTGGCAACTAACTTTCTTTTTGTATATTTTTCATTTCAAAATTTGGGTGTTATTATGAATTCTTAAACGCACTAGTGCTATTATGAAGGACCTAATGACATTCAAATGACAATGCTAAATGTGCCATAATGACACCGACGTAGATTAACTTTATAATTAACTTTGGAACTTTATTGCATAAATATTAATAACTCTAGTGTTTTTACTATGGAACTTTATTGCATAACTTTAATTGCCTTCAGATATAATGACATTCTAATTTAATTGTGCAAAGAAAATATGGAGGGAATTTTTAATGCACTTAACAATATACAATTTTGAGTAGGAATTATGAATTAAACAGTTGGGTTTATTAGCTAGGCTAGGAATCCGAAAATAGAATTTGTTCTGATTAAATACACTATTAAATGGAATAGGAAATTTTGAAAAGAAACTTGATGTTCATGAAATAGAATTGTTGTCTTAAAATATTGGAAAGTTGTTAAAGGAACTTATTGTTCATGAAATGAATTTTGAATTAGGGTTTTAAATTTCATGTAGAAATTAATGTAAGGTTTTATAAGAATAAATTAGTAATACCTATATTAATAAACAAATAGGTAATTATTTTGGGTTTTTCATAAGCAGTCAGTAAAGGACTTAGAAATTTTAAAGAATTTATAGAAATAGGTGAAGGGTAGTTTATTAGGAATGAATCGGAAGCGTTGAAATGAGTTAACTTATAGGTGATTAGGAATAGCGTGTTTCTTTATTTATTAGTATGGATATTTTTTATAGTTATAGATATTAAAATATAATTAAGTAAACCTCAATAGTTTGTTTCTCTCTTTTGTTCGCCATTCACCATCTAACCAATTACAGAGTATGTGGGGCGTTTTGCTACAGTTTAAAGAATCAGATGCTTGCTGACGGAACAGGCATTACGTTTTACAACGATAATTTGTCGGAGGTTCAAGGCAAGCAAATCAATAAACTTGATTGATTGAATGATACAAAATCACAAGATTATCTAGAGTCAATCAAGTCCTCGAAAACCTTGCAAAATAAGGTAATTTTTAGACTATGATAGATTTTTACTGGCATATCCTTATAAAGATTCTAAATTACCTTTAGCAATTTTCGTCAGCGATAGCAACAAAGCACTACTTGCTCCCGTATCATGACCCATAACAACGATCCTATGAGGATTGCCCCCGAAAAATCCAATGTAATTTCTGATCCATTGTACCGCTAAGGCCATGTCCCATAGAGCGGCATTGCCAGGTAAATGTTTGCTACCCGAACTGAGGAAACCCAAAGATCCCAAACGGTACTGGATGGTTACAACGACTAGACGTTGACCCACCAAATGTCTGACCTAAGTAATAGGGCATATATATATGAATATAATGGCAATGGCAAATAAATATCTATGTTGTTTTTGTTAAGAAAGAGAAAGAGTTCCTCTAATAACACAAAAGGTACGTTTAACATTGAAAATGTCCGAGCCGAGGACTAGATAATAAAAACGTTTAATAAACGTTTGCTCAATAACGTCACTTTAACTGACGTTTTTTAAACGTTCTGACGTCCGATCGGATGCGTTTTCAAAACATTTTTACTCAATTAAATATTGAGAACAACTGAAAATTACTTACCCCGTATTGTGACGCCGAACCGTACCGGAAACCGCCACCGTGAATCCACACTATTACAGGCAAACCTGTAAATTTGAGTCAATATAAAATCCTACTCCGCATTTTTTCAGAATACAGGATTATTGGTAATTCGATACATTCCTTTGGAGATGTGATAGGGGATGAGGTGAGGAGTAACATGCTTTATGCAAAGCTCAATAGTTTTTAAGATATTTCAATGTTTCTGTTTTTCTTGAAAACATCACCTATAAGTCTATTTTTAGAAATATGTACATTTTTTCAACTTTTCTACTGGATTACTTGCCCAACCAACACTATGATTTTATGTTTGTGATAAAAAAATATCCGGAAACATTTCCGTCATAGGAAAATTTCAAATAAAATCTCTTGAAAAATTATTTTCAAAAATATGGTATAGGTACCTAATTTTTTATGGGTTGGGGAGATTTTATTTAAAATTTTCCCATGACGGAAATGTTTCTGGATATTTTTTATTACAAACATACCTAAGACCTTAGTGTTGGGCCAGTAATCCAGTAGGAAGTAGAAAAGTTGGAGAAATGTACGGTAGATGTTTTGCTAATTCACTTTTACGGCAATTAGGTCTATGTTTTCAAGAGAAACAGAAACATTGAAATATCTCAAAAACTATTGAGTTTTGCATAATGCATGTTACGGTTAAATTTACTCCCTACCTCATCCCCTATCACATCTCCAAAGGAATATATCGAATTACCTTTAACCCTGTATATTGATGAAAATACTATACCTTCCGTTCCAGTGGGCAAATCGGGGGTGAAAATATTTAAAGCCAAACAATCCTCGTTTCCTATAACCGTATTAGTTCTTCCAGGTGCTGGCTGAATGCAAGGCGGCGGATACACTGTGGCATTGACTTCACCTTCTAAGAATTTTTCTTTTGGTCGCTATAGAATTTCAGTTTTTTAAATAATTATTGAACAAAGGAGAGTTTCAAAGTAAGAAATTAATAGTTCTCGCAGTTTGGAACTATGGAACTACGTCCGAGAACTGACCCTTGAGAGACGCCCCTGGTAAATCATTGCATTTTTGAGTGCCTACCAGTCTCGCCTCTAACTGCCTCTGATACATATGAATCAGACCCTTAAACTAAGTATCAGAAAAATCATAATTAACGTTGCCTTTGTAGCATTGTCTTGTGATTCATATTATAATCGAACGATTTGAAAATTTACAATCTCAGACAGTTAAATCATGACAAACCGGTACACTATCAGGTCTACTCAGAGCTTCTTCAACATCCATTGGATCAGGAAAATCAACCATATAGTTACAAACTTTTGGGTGGTTTTCTTTCTCTTCTAACTGCTACGCTACGAGAGATGCAGGCAGGTTTGGTCATCATGTTGATGACGAAACAGGATGAATAAAATCGGGTTTGCCAAAATCAGGTGTACTCATCACCATTATCAGCCTTCTGCTTCTTCCTATAGCCGTTCTCTCATCCTCTGGATGTAGGCCTCTCTCAGATTTTGCCAGGTATTTCTATTCTGTGCGACCTGGTACCAGTTAAGTCTTGTTGTTCGATTGACGCCTTCATACGAGCGTTGTTGAGGTCTGCTGCCGATTTTGCGATCCCCTCAGGGTCTCCATATTGTGACATTTCCGCTCCAGTTGTTCCATTTGAGGGTGCATATTCTATGTGTAATGTCTTCGTCCTTGTCTTGTGATCCCTTAGTGTAATACGTATCATTCTCTTTCGATTGCTTTCTGATGTACTTGCAGCTTATTTAGGATTTTCTTCGTGAATGTCCATGTTTCGCTTCCATAGGCAACTACTGGCAGAATACATTCGTTGTAGACTTTAGTTTTCAGCTTCAAAGTTAACTTGGACCGGAATATGTGGCACATTTTACCATACGCAGCCCATCCCAGTCGCATTCTCCTATTAATTTCAAGCTCTTAATTAACTTTGCCCAGCGGTATTTCCTGTCTTAGATACTTGTAGGAGTTTACTTTCACCTGTTGGTTTTCTATGGTTATTGTCTCCCTATCTTTTTTTTTTAAACCAATTCTTTATTACTTCATAATAGCATTACAATGAATAAACTAATCCTTCAATCAGTGCTTTAACACTGGTACCAAGGATATAAAACTAAACAATAATCAACAGTGTGTAAAATCTTAAGACATTAATAAAAAGTTCCACAGAAAAAAAAAATCAACAGATTAACAAAAAAAGAAAAAAATAGTACATTAAAATACAAGTTTCATAAGACGTCATTTTATCGCACGAGCCCTATATTAGAAAACGAGCCGGAGGCGAGTTTTCTAAAGGGCGAGTGCGATAAAATGTCTTATGAAACGAATATTTTATACTATTTTTTCTATTTTGGTATTGTTTAATTAAAAAAATCAAATTTTTCTTGGAAATTTTATTCTCATATTTCCTGATTTCATATGTTTAGGTTGGTAACACTACATGCCAAATATAGAAATCTTCTATTTTTAAAATCGCGAATGACAGTTCGATGGCCATCAGTCAGCCAGTGTTACCAACCTCCGATAAGTAAAAAAGGAGTGTCACAAAGAGCTTCTTTTCGAAACTACTTTTAGTGTCGAAAAGACTTCGATATGACACCAAAATAGAAAAATATATGTTTACCTATATAACTTTCAATCACACCCCAAACATAACAAATTACCTACCTAATCTACTACTAAGTACCGTTTCAGCCCATATGAAAATTTGCCCACCGTATTCGCATCCCTAACTGTGTCAGGCAAACAATTATATGTTTTAATTGCCTGATACATTGGGTTATTTAACCCTTTATTAGTCCTAATATAATTACCCAAATCAAAATTATGGAATGATCTTGTGAAATGCTCGTGCACACCCTCAATAGAGGTAATGTTAGTGTTACACTTCTGCATATTCTTTGTAACCTTATATACATATTTACATTGTTCAAGCTGAAGTATCCTATTCAACATAAAGACATCCAACCCCTTATATAGGTCAACAGTATGAGTGAGCCAATCCAATCCAAATAGAACCTTTAATAACCTACTGTTTGCTCATTCATCATAAACTGTTTTGATATGTTCATTTCTAATCCGATCTTCTTGGTTTCTTGGAGTAATTCTTGCAGCATGATTTCAAAAGTCTGTTACGTTCGAGGCGAAATATTACGATGTCATCAGCGAATCTTAAAATATTGAGGTTTTCTCCAGATATATTGATCCCTCTATAACACATCTTCGAGGACTAGGGTGAAGAGCTTAGATGATATTATCGCCTTGTCTAACTAAGTTTTTGATTTATATTTCTAACATATAAACATTTCTTGCCATAGTTATTTTTATATGGGAGGTTGCAAACTATTAAATTCGTTTTAAAACACTTATTTGATAGCAGTATTATGTCATCTTTTCGGATATCAGTGTCGTTAAGTCTCGTTATTAAACAACATAGTCCTTATCAGTCAAATCTTTCAAATAACAGTCTGAATTATGTATAATATCCCTTATTGTAGTATAAGGTTTTGTGACTATATAGCTGAGTTATACCCCCATTGATTTGTCTATAGCATCATATAACATTTTTCCAAAGTCATCCGTTAAAATAACAATTTTATTCTTAGAATTTTTAACCTTTTTTAAATTAACAAGCGAATTCATAAGCAGTTATGTCAACAATATTACCATCTGATTGACTTTTTTGATCATCCTTTTTCGAAACTTTACGCTGCTTAAACTGGAATAATTCTATATTGATCTTTTTATTCTCACTGGCATATACCAGGTGTCCCACTAAGGTCTGCCAGGTACGATATTATGGAAACCATAGACCTTACGGCTTCGGGAATTTTTTTTTCTTCACTAAATCGGCCAAGAGAAATTGATGGAAATTATTTTCAAGTTTCTAGGATGACCACTAGGGGGCGCAATTACGATGGTATAGCTACAGTGGGTATAGCTAAAAATTCAACTTTTCTCAACAAATCGCTATATTAACAACTATTTAATAACAGAAATCAAAAGTTCATTCATTTTTGCGCCAGTTTGGTTATTAGGCTTTTTTTCGTATCTTCAGTAATAAGGGTGGGGGAAGCTGGTGAATATTTTTTTTAGAAATTGCTGTATCTTCCATACCCCTCATTCAAACTCATTCAATTTGGGTTCATTTGGAAGAGAATTTCATTGTTATTGAGAACACCATTTCGTTCGAGGTCGATAATTCCCACTGCATCTTCTAGAGGGCGCTGTTTATTCAAGATCCAGTTTTTCTAATTTTCATGAAAAATCCAAATGGCATAATATTATTTTTGTATTGCTGTGCTTAAAGAACAAAAAAATATCTAGTTTTTGGCGCAAACCGCAATTCAATATCTGCATTCGTTTTCAAGTTACGTGAGGTCTATGGTCTCCATAATATCGTACCTGGCCGACCTTAGTGGGACACCCTGTACATCATTATCATTTTCAAGTGTACTAATAATTGTTGAAAGCATTTGATTTTTCATTGACTTCAAATCATCTAGCTCTTTTACCAGTTCATCACGTTTTTTATCTTCCTCCAATATTATTTATTTATTTATTTATCATTTATCAGGTACACCTTGCAAACACTTAGAAAGTAATTACATGTAAGGGATGACAAAATAAAAATTGCAAACAAAACAAAAATACGCCTACATGCTAAAAAAAAAAGACATATACTCACATACAACAACAACCTAACATAATCATTTTGAATAGGATTTGAACTTATTCTATGGACAAATAATATAATATCACTAGACACCCATGCTACGCACGATTCGTTTTGTAATAGGAACTCACTTAATTTCATTTACACTTGTGTTGCATATATTATCTATACTATTTTCTCTTAAAATACGATTGCAATCTGACAATATCCAGTTTACAGGAGAGCAGCTTCTGGGACTAGTTGAAAATACATTGTTTTGCCTAAGTCTTAGGTTAACCTTAAGGACATAAAATGAGATAAGGTTAATCCAGAATGAATCTTTATATTTGATGCTGTTTATTATGAGAATTATGAACATTTAAGATTGCACAGACCTTCTAGTGTATAAATATTGTATGTTAAACGTTTCCAACATATGTAAAGGTATCTGAGAAATTTCTTTTGAACCGTTTCTATCAAATCAGAGCTACTCTCTGTTGTCGGCGACCAGATCACAGAGGCATACTCCAGGTGTGGTCTAACGAGAGCATTATATGGCGTTACTAGAGGACTCATATTCGTAAAATCTTTTGTATTTCGAATTAGGAAACCCAACATTCTATATGCCTTTTTAACAATTTCATCGTAGTGCAAACTATAGCTGAAGTTTGATTGTATTGTGACTCCAAGATCCTCTCAGTGATCTCTTCTGTCCAATTCATGTTAATTTATAATATACATAGTACATGCGATTGGATTTTGACGTCTAGTAAAGGTTACAGAAAAGCACTTTCCTACGTTTAGAGATATTTTGTTTTTTTCCGAACCATATGTAGCTACGCTGTTTAGATCTTCTTGAAGTTTAGAGTGCAGTCAGAGACAGAAGCGATCACTCTAAACATCTTGAAGTCGTCAGCGAACATGAGACATTCGGTACCTTCACATAGGCAATCAGGTATAAGTCATTTATAAAGACAGAGAAAAGTAAAGGGGAAATATTACTTCCCTGTGGCACTCCAGATGCCGCTATATATACCTCTGATAGTTCTCCACCCACACGAACATTGCATGGCCTCGATGATAGGTAGGATTTCATTAAATTATAAGAACGTTGAGAGAAACCAGCGTTGTCAAGTTTTTACAATAAAAGATCATGGGTGACTTTATCAAAAGCTTTTTCTGCATTAGTGAAAATAACATCCATCTGTCTACATATTTTTCCAGTCACAACTTTCTAATAGATTGTAGAATTTATAAAAGTCAGCTTATCTGCTGCAAATTCTCGTTCCTCTGTATTAGTTCATCAATACGTTTGGTCTCAGATTTACTAGATAGCTTAATCTTTTCGATTTTTTTATCCAAACTTTTATTTTTTACTAGAACTTCTTCATATGCATAGTAATAGGTATCGTTCTTTGTGCGACCAATTTCTCTTTCCAAAAGTTCTAATAATTTTTTCTTGTCCCTTGATTTTTTCTTCCAGTGAATTTTTTGCAGAAAAAACATTGTCCTGAAAGTCTATATAGTTTTCTTTCTCTCTCGTTGAAGTATACCCCTTCCCATTTGAAAAAAATATGAGCAGTAACCACCCCCGCTAGGGGGTTGAGGTTACAGGGATGAAATTAATAGTGCAACGTGTCCCTCTGAAAACAAAAGTACACGGGTCCAAGGGTTTTTTTTAAATTTTTACTTTCAAAGCCGTAAACCTTGCTGGACTGTTTTCGATGGGCGACCCTGTATATATGTCTCGATGTATAAATTGATTTAAAAAAAATAATAATAGATAAGTGAAAATTAATGTTTTTTTCTATTCCATGCTCTTGAATTTTGTTTATTGCGACAAATCCAATAACAAAATGCATTTGGAAAAAATGAAGCCATATGTTGTGTAACTGACCCTGCATTTGATAAATAAGGAAATTAGTAGATAATTATTATATTATATCTATGATAAAGTATTCCCTAATAATAAACATTAAACAGCAGTAAATAAAAATAAGTGAAGTTAGATAAGGCTTATTACAAATTATTTTGTGCAAGTGCCCTTGCGCCTATTCTCTCATTTAAATGACTCACTGAATTACAAATTACGCGCATTAAATACAAAAACATAAAATCTAGAATTCCGTAAAAGCTTGGTTTATTATGCTCAAATTCGGACAGCGGTGTTAGCTTCTTCACAATCTTCGTACACACCAGATAAACTTGCTGGTAACTATCTGTAAAATAAAGGAAATAACCGTTTTATAATTATTCCATTGGACAGGGGATAACTGGGCGACCGGACCAATGGGAGCACATATTCCATTTTTATCCGTCAGATTACCTGACAGTTTATCAGAAGGTGAATAAACCGGCCCTAAGAAATTCAAATACGCTATCTACTGAGTTTTGAAACTCCAAATATAAGCATGTCCACGATAAAGTGTAGCAGTATCCAACTGCATATGTGCCATGAAAAATGAATAATCTCTAAGGTTTCTGAGAAATAGAAAGAAGGCCATTACTCTTAGAGGCGAATTTCAGGGAGCTGTAAATCCGATAGGGGAGACCACTTGGTAAAACTACAAAATACGCTCTGACTCTTAGATTGACTGCAACAAAACTCTTATGGGACTATGACTCAATACTACTACGCGCTATTGATAGCAGATAGTGTACTCCGGATTTATCTAGAAAAACCCGGCGCCTTACTCCGAATTATTTACGCGACGTGCAGACAATTGCATTCTCAGAATCCGACCGGGCTGCTGAGGCAACTTCGTAACAATATGTATAATCGAAGAAATAATTCTTACCAAAAATCTACCTGCTCCCACCGGAGGTTGGGCATACTTTATCCCTTTAAAAACGTAATTGGGAAAATCTCTGGTCCCTTCCACTCGAGCGGCGCGACCGTTAAAACGCACGTACACCACTGGGTCGACATTATTGGCGGGTTCCGCCCCAACGAGTCTTCGAACTCTTTGGTGGGATTCATTACATTTTATACCGGTTTTTAATGTAATTAGTATGAATAATGTGTTAAGGAGCACTTTAGCCATTTTTACAGATTGATTTGTTGAGAAAATAATTATAAACTGTGCAATTTACTAAATAGATATAAAAAAAAAACGCTACGAGAATAATATCAGAATTCGCAGCCACATCTGCATATTTGGTTACATATAAAATACCTACTCTAAAACTGTTAAGACTAGTTCTCATGAAGCGGAAAATCGCGTGGCGCAGGCGGAATTATCAAAATTTGTTCCGCAGCGGGGAAATATCAACTTTAAATTATTTTCAACTTTTGCGCGATTTTCAATCTCTGTCACTTTTTACTGTCACCTTTGAGATGTATGCAGTGAATGTATGGTACGACATTTGATAAAAGTCACTAAAATATAATATGAAATACCCTAAGTATAACTAAAAATCCGCTTCCGGAATCTCGCTTCTGATATTCCGCACCCGCAACGCGATTTTCCGCTCCACGAAAGCTAGGCTTTAGACTTTGGAATATCTATAAATAATTTAGTACTTCATCATTAAACAACAAAATATCTAAAAACAATAAGTATAGATAAGCTGAAACAAATTTCGTTGTTCTCGTCGGGCGGCCGCCCTTGGATTTTAGTGCATTAATCATTTTGAAACAAAAATTTTCTAGATGCCGTGTTTGCATCATTCGCTTTGCCTCAATAAACCTTTACAAACAGTGGCGACAATAGAAATCCCGCCGCTATATTCTTCCTAATTTTGAATAGGAATCTAGAAGTAATGCACGCCTCCGCTGCCATATTTTTCCTCATTTTCAAAGTGAATGTATAGGATTTTAAAGAACTAATCAAAAATACGACGGTAATTATCGCAACTGTGGTTTATTAAGTCACTGTAGCTTTGCTTATTATGTTAACCAAAATATAATAATATTTTCCAGTTTCCATCAAAAGTTTATTCTAAACTATGACCGCTGGCCGGCTGGCGACGCAGGCGCAAACATATGACGAAAAATCTGATGACTTCAGCAATAGTGCTATAAAAAAAAAGGCTTTTTACGTTATATTTAGGATGACGTCACATTTAGTAAATTTCTGCTGCCAACCGAACAAAACTAAAAGTAATTTTCAGCGCATTTAAAGTAGGGCAATTTCAGATGTTTTTGGTTGGCAACGGCGCGCGACGTTGCATTATTTATATAAACATTTTCAAATAATGCGTGTCGATTCATTTCAATATTTTTAGCTTTAGAAAAAAGTTCTTTCAAGAATTCAGTACTTTTTCGTAGCGTAAACTTACTCAGAAAATGCCCGCAGGTTTGTCGGAGTTGGCCTCAGGAACGGGTAGTATACTTAAAACGTATTTCCAGCAGGAACGCGACCATTTTAGCTTCTTACTGCTATGAGGCATGTAAGTAAATTACCTATTTTCCGTTTCGTTTGACAGAAAAGACCTATCATTTTTTACCTGGTATGCGCGCGCAACATGAGGCAAGTCTTTTTATTAGCTAACTAGTACAGGTGTGAAGTGTTCGTTTTGCACGCTGGACATCTCCTTGTCCTTGTTCATTGTTCGTGGTCTGATAAAAAAAAAAGTACGGTTGATATTCAACTTGACGTTACTTGACAAGTGACATTCAAAAGAAGTTTGAAATGTTCATTGATAAATACGTTGCACAATACGCGGTTTTTTTCTTCTCTTTTTATCCCGTGCAAATAAGGAGGACGGATTGCCATACATAAGTTTAACAAAATTTGGTACATTTTGCCTCGTCTTGCGCAATGAGCGTTCTGTGTTTTTTTTTATCTAATGAAATTTTCGTATTATTACCTCTTTGTTTGGTAAAATAGATAGGTCTACTGTCACGTGACATTCTAATAAATTATAAGAAAAAAAAAGGCATTGACAACATTGTCTCTTTTTGTTCTATGACGTCATCCTAAATATAACGTAAAAAACCTATAGTACCTACACCAAATTTATTACAAAAATGGCGTTGTCTGATTGGTATATTTCATAATGAGGATAATAGTCATGAATAAACATTCATCTAACTCATTTTGGCAGCGCCCCCCCCCCCCAAAGTTCCTGAAATATATCGAAAGTTGGGAAAACTTGGAAAAAAAATTTAAAGTTGGGAAAAATTGGTAGACAAAAAATTGCGCACCCTATTTGCGCGGACTAATTCAAATTAACATACATTAAGATCGTGTCACGTGTCGTAATGAATTGGAAAATCACCATACAACAGGATGACGAAATCCCAGTGGTCGGGGCGATCTTGCGTTGCACATTGCACTGCACTAGCACCACTAGCCTGTAACAGTGGCACGTGGCATTCGTGACAGTAGTGGTTCTAGCGCCACTAGCATACTATTCACTCGAGTATTCACTATTCGAGAGTCAAGACCGACGTAGTTATATCTATAGCTTGTTGTTGCGAGCGCGTCGTGTTTGAGAGAGATGGACAATATAGTATATTAGATAACCCAAACTTCTTATTACTTTGTGCCTTCTGCGCATTCTTCGCTCGCTATTCAGATTTCAGCAAAGCTCTGAATCCTGTGCTCTTATATTGAAGAAATGTTTTTTTCGAACATTTTTCTTATACTTACACGTTTTTTATACATTGTTTATTTTATTTGATTATATTATTTATAGGTCTGGAACAAGGTTGTTTGAGAGAGGTAGGTTGCCTGATAACTTTATGACGTCATCTGGGGTGCCTCAACATAATGCAAATCTCCAAGGTACCACAGATTAGATGCGTCATCAAGTTACCCATTACCAGGCAACCTATTAACTTTAGGAATCTTGGGTCTGGAATCTATAAAGTCGTGAGCATAAAAAGAGGGACACCCGACTGATCAAATATGACATTGCCATAGGTATAGCTGATGAGCTCGTTTTACAATAGGAAAAAACGGGTGTCCCACTTTTTGTGCTCACGACTGTACATGTCAAACTTTTTATCAGTTTTTGAAGTGAAACTCTTAGGAGGCGGTCTGATATCAGAGGAGAATATAGAGGGTTATTTCAAGCGTTTGACCGGTCGGTTACACTTGACAGATAAACAATGAAGAAAGCGTCATCTGTTGACCAATAATTGGTCTTGAATGACGTAAAATGCGTTGTGCGTTGCTCATCTGTCAAAGTTACCGACTGGTCAATCGCTTGAAAACCCCATATGGAGAGTGATTTGAAAGACGAAAGACGCATCACGTAACGTCACGTTTTGGCAAATTTCGTTACGAGAGATGATACAGAAGGAAGCTATACCGTAGAGAGACGGAGAAAGACATCAACCAATGACATTGACAGCTGACGAACAATAGAAGCTTTCATCGTCTGCATGACGCATGTGCGAGACTGTCAAAAGCGACGTCTGTCAATAGACGGGTCGACAAACAAAACATAGACATGGGCTTCGGAAAGTTAAGAAAAATTATGGAACTCGTTCGACTATCACTTTTACAATCACCAAACACACATCGCTTCACCGCCCCTTGATAAAACATATCACATTCCCCCAGAACTGCCACAGTTATTAAAATGAAGCCCGAAATTGAGAAAATTAATAACATTGACGTTGCTATTTATAGGTTATGTGACTTTGTCGGCTTTCTGCCAAAGTCAGTCATAATGAAATCTTCTATTCCCATTAACGAAGGATTATAAGTAAAGAGGATTGCCTATTATTGTCAAGCGCCGATACCCTTGTAACGTCACTATAGATACACGGGCTCTTCGTCTTCACCCCGACTCATACGCTAAGTCTCTAAGCGAGGGAGGAATATAGTTTTTGAAAAGTTTCACTTCTTAATACGTGTACGATGCTACACATGATTTTTTTGAACTGAAACTTCTTACGCGGCGGTCTGATTTGGAGGAGAATGGAGAGTGATTTGAAAGAAGCATCACGTTATACGTGACGACACGTTTTGGTCAATTTCGTTACACGAGAGACGAGAGAGAAGAAAAATATAACGTAGAAAAACGGAGAAAGATATTAACCAATGACAATGACAGCCGACGAACAATTCACACGAACGAAGAATTATAAGCAAAGAGGATTGCCTATTATTGTCAAGCGGCAAGCGCCGATACCCTTGTGACGTCACTACAGATGCGCGTTTGTCTATGGTGTAGCCTTTCGTCTTTATACCCCGACTCATGCGCTAAGTCTATAAGTTGTATGAGAGGCAAGTTCATGAGAGAGGGAATAGTTTTTAAGAAGTTCCACTTCTCAACACGTCTACGACGTATGATGCTACATGTGATTTTTTTTATGTTTCAATAAAGTTGGGAAAATTAGGAATGTCACCCCCCCCCCCCCCCCCCAAAAACAGAGGCCTTCGCTACGTCCCTGCATTTTGGTGTATAGTATAAATAATTATTAAAGTTGAGAGATATCGGGTCTTCAAAAAAAAAAAACAATCGAAGATTGCTTTGATTACGAAAACGTACGTCGCATTATGGTTTCCTTATTGGTCTGGTTTTTTGACATGAAGTTTTGACACTAAAGTTCATTGACAAAATTGAAGGAAAATTATGCTAAGACATACGTTTAAAAAACCATAGCAATCTTTGATTGGCTTTTTTTTGAAGACCCGATATCATGTATTGTGTAATGGCAAATTTGGCCCTGTCACAGGTAGAAAATAACAGAGACAGGTTCTAGGTTTACAATAATTATGTCACAGTATTTGTTTCTGGACACCCTGTAAAAGAAACAAAGTTAAGCCGGAGTTTGGGCACTTTCCAAATTTCACCGATAAATTGATAGGTTAAATAAACCGGTAGATGTCAAAAAATTCCGGTTAAAGTTAGGTGTAAGTCTGGTTACAACATTTTTCTGATGCATTTTGGAACGCTTTGGTGTGTTAAAGCGGTTGTGACAATTGTGTTCCGACAATTTAACAAACGACTGCCGATAAAGCCCAATCAAAGCAATTGATGTACGTCAAAAAAAAAGTGTCAAAAAATCTCCAACCGAAAAAACCGACAAAAATTCCGGGAGATCCGGTGCCTCACCGGTTTCAAAAAGCTGATAATTCCGGTCAATTTTGGAACGGACGATCTGGTTCAACCAGTAGAAAGCCGGCAAATTTTGGAACGGTTTGGTGAGTAAACTATTAAACCGGTATCACACCGGTTCACAAACCGGTGAATTTTGGAAAGTGCCCTTTCATGCATCTGTTTTCCGACGTCCGATGTCTGAAAAAACTTTTATTTTGACATATTTTTATACGATTATGTCAGAATAGAAGGTTTTTCGGACTCCGGTCTTAAGCCTAGTACTCATTACGAGATTTGCTTTTTTTGACATTGCTTCGACAATTTGACGTTTTATGCGTGAATCAAACGTCAAATTGTCGAAATAATGTCAAAAAAGAGCGGATTTCGCAGATATGAGTACTAGGCTTAACTTTAAAATTATTATTTAGGTGGCCAAGGATATCCAAATTAATATAATTTATTCACGACCAGACCTTATTATCTTGTTTGTACTGACCTGACACACTTGACACTGATCCGAAACTATAATAATTATTGATATAATTAACAGCTTATACAAATCCATTAAAAACATGTAATTAAAACAAATAATTCTTACCAAAAATCTATCTGCTCCTACCGGAGGTTGGGCATACTTTATCCCTTTAAAAACGTAATGGGGAAAATCTCTGGTTCCTTCCACTCGAGCCGCGCGACCGTTAAAACGCACGTACACCACTGGGTCGTCGTATGGGGGGTAGTTGGCGGGATCGCCCCCAACGATTCTTCGAACTCTGTGGTGGGATTCATTACATTTTATAC